TGACAAATAATTCACATAGTATACAATTTGCCTGTTTGCACAATTTGATAGACTTTAGTCCAGCATCCTTATAGGCCCATGACACAATCACCACTTTCTATTTTAGAACATCACTGTCTTCAGTTTTATACACACATATAATGTATGGTCCACCTTATTTTTTAAATGAACATAATATTTGCAATTGTAACCATTTTTAAGTTCACAATTCAGTGGCATGAATTACATTCAAGATATTAGTTATACTCATGATATTCATTAATTACTCTCAAAATATTAATTACATTTGTGGTATTCATTGATTAAATTTTCAATATTTATTCAATAACTATATGATAGTCATTAATTACATTAATTGTATTGATTTATTACATTCATTACTGTCCATTTGTGGGGCTTTTCCATCACACAAAACAGAAACTATACTTAGGAAATCATTGCTCTATGTTCCTTTCTTCTCCGTCTTGAGATAACATCTAATCTTTCTGTCTCTATGAATTTGTATATTCTATATATTTTATGTAATACAATTCTATAGTATTTGTCCTTTTTTAATGTAAAAACATTTTATGTACAACTGCAGGAGAAATAATATACAGATAGCTTGAACATAAAAACAGGTTATAATTCAAAAGTCCAGGGTTATTTGAAACTGGAAAATATTTTCTCTGTAGGAAATAGTAAAAATGATAACATTTCCCAATAAGCTCTTTTAAGTTAAATAATAGCTGAATTATATAAATATTGATTAGATTCTGGGGTACAAAAGAAACACGTCTTTATCTGTTCAGAGAGCTATGTTTTACTTAAGTTGTGTGAGATTCCTATTCATCTTCCCCTTCACTGTTTGATTTATGGCAGACATTTTTCTATAGGCTAATCCATAATCTAAAAAGATTTTAGTCTCCCCTCCTGAAAGTACAGCCAGCATATTCTTTTCATTAGCTTGATACAGTACAAATTTTTATCCTAATAGTGAAATGTTTTACTAAAGCTTGGCCAGTGATTGGACAAAACCAAAACTTATTATAAGCCACGGTCATCCTAGGGTCCTCCCTGCTAGGTAGCCTCCCTGGATCTGTGCGTTGCAGTCTTATTGTCCTTTGCTTTGTAAAAAGATGAAGGGAGTCTTGGCAATGGTAGATACATAGAGAGAGTTCAGCATCCTGGGAGGCTTTTAGACACGTCTCATTATTGCCAAGCTTGGTTCTTGGTATGTGGTCACTTTATTTTTTAAACTTTGAAAGTAAGAATAAGATCATTTCTGGGAGAAAGTCTGTCTGAGAAGAGCGGTCTGAGAGATAGGACAGCTTTGGAATATGTACCAGGGCCATCTGGAGAACTTCTTGTAGAGCACTATGGAACATGGTTAAGTAAGTTTATTATTTATTTAGTTATTTGGGTTTTGTTTGTTGTATTTTTGAGAGAGGGTCTCACTATCAGGCTGGCCTGGAACACATAAAGATCCGCCTGCTTCTGCTCCCTAGTGCTGGGAAACGAGGTCTCTCGATGTAGACCAGGCTGGCCTAGAATCATCTGCCTCTGATTCCTGGGTGCTGGGATAATAGAATAAATGTAAAGTATCAAAATGTATCATCCTATATAAGTAGCTTTAAATTTAGATACGAACAGTTGTAAGAGCCAAAGGTTCAAGAAAATGTGAAGGGATACTAAAAGTTGAACAAATTCTTCTTGAAGTCTTCACCAATTGAGTCAAAGGCTACTGATATTTGTGTGTATTTTGTAATTAGAACATGAAGCCATCTATTAATAAAGCTAAGGAAGTGTTAATTAGATTTTTATAGTGTAACTTCCAACCGTGTTTTCTCTTCTACTCTCATAGTGTGGTTTTCTGTCAATAAATAGTACCTGATTATTCAGTCTGACTTTCGTGTTCCATCTTTCTTGACCTTTACATAATGATATGTATAGTAAGAACTCCTCATTGTGTACCTCTAGGATAAGCTCTAATGTCATGTGTACTTGAGGTCACATTTTGGTTATGACTCTTACTGACTTGGCTATCTTGGAGATTCAACAATTTCCAAATCTTGGTTTCTCCATTTAAAAAGGGGGAGCTAATTCCTACAAGGATATTCCTGGAATTAATGAACTAATATGTGAAAAGAATTTAGCATTCTACCTGACAGTTTCGTTTTGTTTTTGTTTTTCGAGACAGGGTTTCTCTGTGTAGCTTTGCGCCTTTCCTGGAACAAACTCAGTAGCCCAGGCTGGCCTCGAACTCACAGAGATCCACCTGCCTCTACCTCCCGAGTGCTGGGATTAAAGGCGTGAGCCACCACCGCCCGGCTACCTGACAGTTTTATAATGATTATAACTTTGACTATTACTGACAGTTTAGAACACTCTAAACTGAAGGTCTGTAGAATGGGGATTGGAATTGGCGGCTGTACTGAAGAAAGGCTTAGCAGCATGGTAGTAGTAGCAATTAGAATGAATTGGTGGGTGCAGGGTTTATGAATGTGATTGGTTAATTCTGGTCTCGTCTTGTAGAATCATGTAAGTGCATTACTAACTCTGGCATGGTGCTAAGCATATAGTCCTTCTCGAATACATTGTGAATAGAAGCCGTTCAAAGACTTTAAACCCCCTTATATATTCAGCATGCTAAAAAGCTAAGCATGTCATTTAACCCCTGCAGAGGTAAATAATCTCCAGAATTCCAGTTTTGAATTCTTCTGGCTCGAGTCACTGTTGCTGTTTACCAGATTTTGTAAACAGATAACTGCTTGTCTGTGCTGGTAGGATGGTGAAGTTGGAGACAGGAGCATCATCTTTTGTATTGGGTTTTGTGAGCTCTGGGTCTTGTGATAGCCTGGATTCATAAGAACACACTCAGTTTTCTTCCATGCAGGCCTTTATTTTCCTGAGGATCTGGGATTGGTCTCCTGCCTATCATCTCTACTGCTGCCTCCCCTTACTTCCACTTCTGATACCTTTTATTCCAGATCTGAAGTTGCCAAAAGGTCCCCTTATCCATTCTCTCCTGAACTTCACATCCCCATGTCTGAATTGGTGTCTTCTGTTGCTCTCTGCCTTGTTACCTTGAGATACTGAACCTGGAGCTCACTGGTTCAGCTAGGCTGGCCGATTGAGGAGCTTCCAGGACCTGTCTCTCACCCCTCTAACCACCTCCATAAGTTGCAGTATACATAGTCATGCTTAATTTTACATGGATGCTGGGGATTTGAACTCAGGTCCCCATGCCTGCATAGCAAGTGCTCTTACCCATAGATCCATCTCCACAGGCTTCTTGGAATTTACTATTGGAGATAATTTGCTATTTGGAAATCAGTTGCCAAATCATTTTTAAGCACTTTTACAGTCGTTGAGTCTACCTTTCCTTATATTATGAGTCTGCACTTGAACTCTTGTTCTCAAATAATCTTTCTGCCAGCCTGGCAAGCACCTGGGACCATACAGAACAACAGCTTTCTTTCAAGAAAGAATTCATAGTTCTGGATTTAGGAACCTAAAATATATTCTGTCCTGCCACATATGTTGACCTGGTGGTTTTATTTGTGTGTTTAATATCCAAATAGGTGTTGAATAATAACCTTTACATTATTGCTATGCATTAATATATTCATACCTTTACTTTTTATAAAGTATATTGAGTAGTGGAGTATTTTTGCACCATTAACTGAAGAAGGAGTTTTTATTTATAGAGTAACTAGCATAGGATCATAAGAGGAAAAATAATCTAGACACTGCCCAGGTAGCCCAGTGTTGATTTGCATATACAACTGTGTGAGTGGGTGGTATTTACTAATGTGCAGTGTTAATAATGGAAACATTGAAAAACACAACTAATTCTGTTCTTCTGGTGAGAATAAAGTTTGCAGATGAAAGGACAAAACTTCTAATGTAGCGAGCTGCCCAGTATTTTGTTAGTAAAACCTAATTAAACTCAGTTCTGTTATAGAAAGTTTGTTTTTTTTTTCTGGAGAACTGTAGAGGGTGCTGTAACCTTAGGAATAATGTGCACTGGTTTTAACTAGCTACAGGAATTCACAGAGCGAGAGTGTCACAGTGTTTAGAGAGACCAATAATACATAATGTATTACACTGCTTATTTGAAAAATGTGTTTTCATCTTTGAGATTCTTTGGTATTGTTAAAATTACGATCTCTCTCTCTCTCTCTCTCTTGAGATATTGTCTCACTGTGTCAGTATGTGTCCTTGGCTGGCCTAGAACTTGTTCTGTAGACCAGGCTGGACTCAAACTTAGATCTACCTGCCTCTGCCTCCCTTCAAGGTGTGCACCACCACACCAGCATGATAGCCTTTCATTGTATCATCCAGGTAGATTGTAGAACAATAAACTGTTATTTCCAATCTCATCCCCTTTCCTTCATTTCTTATTTATATTTATATCAGAAGGTAATTAAACTATGTAATGGGACTATATATTTTAGCTAAGTCTGATTCAGCAGAGAAACAGCTTTGGAAGACAAGTTATTGCACCAAAAGGGAATTTAAAAATCTGGGCAAACTTCAGAAGTTGTTTTGATAAAGTAGATATATTGCTTTTTGGCTGATTGAATGTATTATTCAGAGAATTTATACAGTGTTCTATGAATTCCAGACTTTTAACATTTACAGATCTTTAGTAACTTGGATTCAGTTTCCTCAGTATTGAAGAGTTTTGCCATTTGAAGTTTGTTAAATTAGTCTGAGTGGTAGATTTTGAAGGAAATGATGAGGTTACCTATCTTTTTAAAAATGGTATCGCTGAGTAGCTCCTTTTATAGATTGTAGGCAGTTTTAAACAGTTTGGAAGCAAAGCTTGTTTCCTTTTTTTCTTCCTGAAACTATATTTTATAGATTTATTTGGAAGTTCTGTACTGTAGTTCCTTAACAAGTTAAGCAAAGTTTTCCCTTCTCCCCTCTCCTCAAAGTGAAAGGTTTCTCTCCCCAGTAGGTGAAAGGATTGGTGTTGTACAGGCTTTCTCATTCCATTGCTCTTTGTTTTTACTCTAAAGGCACCACCTTCCATGGTCAGTAATGAACAACGCCAGCATGCAGAGCACATATTCCTATCATTTAGGAAATCCAAATCACCATTTGCAGTTTGCAGGCATATTTTGGGTAAGTTTTCTCTTTATAATGTTTTGGCATAGTCAGATGTTTTTTGTCTTGAATGTTAGTTGTTATAAGTCCGTTTTAATGCAAGTAGGTTTGTGCAGTTAGTCACTTTCACTAATGATTTTCCTATTGCAGTTGGTGTATTTAAAGATATTTTGTGAAACCAGAAAGAAAGCTTAGGAAGAAGGATCATCTAATGTTTTGGTTTTTCCTTGTTTTCAGATGGTATACCATTATAATAGAAATTGTAATTAAGTTCCCTAATGCTACTTTGAAAATTAAGGTTTGGGGGAAGTTACATTATTTTCTCTCTTTTAATTGTTTTCCAGTTTTTCTTTTTAAAGACTGGTTTATACTCAGCTTCCTTAGCCAAATTAGTCACTTCTGGGAAAGTTATCAATATAAATAAATAAAGCAGTGGTTTGTACTTTTTACAAATTATTTTATGAGTTCTTATGTCTAACACGTACACAGAAGTGGTCTCTTGCAAACAACTATAGGGATGATAGTTCTCTTGTCCAAGATGGCATTTTCTAAGAGATATATAATATGTTGCCATTCACCTCTTCTATACTTCTTGATAATAATAAAAAGGGAGATTTCATTCATTGTTTTTACTTATTTATTTATTTACTTACTTACTTACTTATTTGGGTTTTTCAAGGCCCCTCTGTGTAGCCCTGGAACTCAACAGAGATCCATCCGCCTGCCCCTGCCTCCCAAGTACTGGGATTAAAGGCATGCACCACCATGGCCCAACATTGTTTTTATTTTATAACCTGACTACTGTTGGCCTTTTTGCTTAGTTGGAGGTATCTTTCATATTGCTCATACTTAAGGTTCTTAAAAACTTTGAGTCCATTTATTGCTACAAAATTGATTACTTGATAGGCGCTAAAACATCTGACTGTTTATTCTTGTGATTTTGGTAGGGTTTATCTGTTGCCAGTACTCTGGTTTCCATACAGAAATCAACTATAATGATGGTCATCTCTTCTAAAATGTTTTACATATCAGGGCTTATAAAGTGAGAGGTCTTGAATTATAATGGAAAGAGTTCTGTTGAACTATGAGATGTGACTGCCAGTGGTGCCTGCTGCACATTGTCAATTTGAAGAGGTCAGCTTCTTTGGGCCTCTGTCATCTGTGAAATGAGAATGATGACACCGTTTGCCTTCATGGGCATGGCTACCTTAAGGTCTTGGGAGATGCTTATGTTGTCATATATAAAAAAGGATTGTGTGGACAATAAAGTAAGCATAGCCACATTTCTTTATTTACTAGGGTTTTTGTTTTTTTGAAGATCATCTAAAATACACGACTGTTTTGGCTGGCAGGAGCTAGCAATAGTAGGAAGGTAGCTGTCTCATCCAGGAGATCTTACCTTTAGAGCAATAGCTGCAACAGTGAGGCCATTTTATGGACTTCTCTGTGGTTGGAGTTTTATACTTGAATGGATTTGTCTGTTACTAAGAAATTTGTTCTTTTGCTCATACAGTATATTTAGTAAATGTTAAATAAAAAGAACTAAAACATCAGCCTAAAGAGTTTAAAGGGGATAATACCTCATCCTTACCCTGAAATTATTCCAAATTAACAGATCTGAGAGACCATTGTGTTAAACTGTTAATCTAAAATAATTGGAGTTTGAGTTTCATGACAGATACCTCACCTGCCTGGTCTAGGGTTCCCCAGTGTTTCATCTGACTTTCTGATGAATGCAGCTGTGGCTGTTGACAAAGTTATAAGCACTTATTTTCTAATAGCACTCTTGTTTAGGAGCATGTGTATTAATGATGTACGGTGGCTTTCATAAGGGCTGAACTTGTCTGGACTCACTGTAAAGAGCAGTATCCCTAATTCTAGTTGTGCTTTCAAAGTCAGCTTGAGTTTCACCTGTTAATTACTTAAAGATGGAACACAGCAGCAACATGCACTATCTGTCACTAATGTACTGCAAAGCCCTTGGTTACATACGTAATGTTTGCATCTAAACTCAAAACTCTTTTTAAACCTTACTCAGTTGCCACCAGCACAGAAGGGTAAATTCCTCTAAGAAGACTTCTCATACAAGTGGCAGTCAATCACACCTCAGAATTTTCACATTCTTACTTAGGAATTGTATGTCAGTTTGTAGAATGTCTGGGAAATAGATTCTGATAAAGGGGAAATTTTTCTCTTTGATACTTCCCTTTTCTGTCCTCTTAAAACTCTTCCTTTTACTTCTGGCTTCAGTTTTACGTTTCTTGTTTTTCCTCATATCTTTTCTTATCCTTTGGTTTCCCTTTTAGTTTTAGCTTTCTTTGCTTGCTGCGTGTGTGTGTGTGTGTGTGTGTGTGTGTGTGTGTGTGTGTGCCTCTGTCTCTGTGTGCACGCATGTGTGTGCATACTGCATGCTTGTGTATTTCCTCACAAGTGAACTTTTAGACTATTTCACCTAAGAAATCTTTAGCACTTAGGAACTTACTTGTTTTTTAGGGTTAAACGTTTCTTTTAAAAACAAACAAGCTTGAGTTTAATTCTGGTTAATAGATAACCAAGAAATGTGAGTGATTGGCTTACCACTTCTGAAGTCATCTCCGTAGCACTCCTTTGCCCTCTCAGGGGACATGGATCCATTCACTTATCTTAGGCAGCTAGCACCAAGTGAAGCAAACCAGAATATCCAATTGGGTTAGGAGACTTGACTTCTGATTTGGAAAATTGTCTTTGGTAAAGCTGCCAATTTTATCTTCTTCCAACTGAGACTTTACTATTATTTGGTAGGTGTAGACGTCATTATGCTAGAAGAGCTGGCATTTCAGAGTTTAGAGCTGTATGATTTGAACAGAAACCTTTCAGGTCAGACTGCAGTGGCTGATCATCTACAGTAGACTTGCTTTTGTTTTTAGGACACTTTTTTGATTCCCTTTATTGTTAATTTTACTTCAGTTTTTCTCCAAAGGGTGCTGTCATGTTTCAGATAAAATATAATTTATTTTTATCACAGGATAAAAATAATTTATAAGCCAGGGGTGGTGGCAAAGGCCTTTAATCCCAGCACTCAGGAGGCAGAGGCAGGCAGATCTCTGTGAGTTCAAGGTCAGCCTGGTCTACAGAGTGAGATCCAGGACAGCCAGGGCTACATAGAGAAACCCTGTCTCAAATGCCCCCCCCCCCCCCGAAATGGTTTATAGGTCCATAATTATTGACGTTACTGTGGTAGTAAAGAAAACATTCTGCAAAGTAGCCTCAAGTAGTTTATCGTAGTCCTGTCATAGCCTCAAGGAGTGTAAGACATTGTAGCTGAGTTGTGAGTTCAACAGGAAGACAGACTTGCAGTGTCAGTCATCTTTAAAGAAGAGTGAGACTGAGGCTTGCATGTATGCAGAAGCTCTGCTAGTGAGTACTGGCCAGCGTGCAGAGCGCTTTCTAGCCCCTCTTACACATTTATGCTGTGTGTAAATACACTCTTTGGAGGCTAGTAGTAGTGTTTATCAGAAAATGCAGTACTCTTTGGAAAAGTCCTACTTTTCAGTTTGGAACTTGGCTTTCTCTTCCAGGATTTCTCCATCCTTAGAGACAGCTTCTTAGTAAGTTAGAGACCCTCATTGCCTGCCATGTAGAGGTAGGTGTTGAAGAGAAGTTAAAATGTGTCTCTTGAAAACTTTGAAATGTCTTTCTTATATAGGACAGAAAAAAGACTAGGGTAGAGGCATACATAGTTTAAAATATGGGTGTTTCAGGGCTCCTGACCAACCAGAGGGGCCTACTCAGTCTTGCCTTTGGTTGCATGTGCTTAGCACAGATTAGTGTTACTTAGGGAGCCACATTTCTTCTCTGTTGGGGCATCAGTTTCTGCAGCTCTTAAGATGCAGCAGTTGAAGACAGTGATCTTTGCTGTTTCTCACATTCCGTGAGGCCATCATATTTTACCTTCTTATTAAAATCCATAATTAAGGATTCATTGTAGATGGATGGGAGGACAAACCATCCTCTCAAAGAACTATAATGAGATTATTTAACTTACCTTTATCAGACACAGTCATATTTCTTCTTAAGTGAGATAGATAGAACCTGTTTTTGGCTAAAATTGTTTGAATCTTAGAATAAAATCTAACACCAACCCTCACTCTTGGAAAGTTAAGCTTTTTTTATAATGAGATTGCATTTTCAAAAGTTTTTTTTTTTTTTTGTTTTTTTTTGTTTTTGTTTTTCGAGACAGGGTTTCTCTGTGTAGCTTTGCGCCTTTTCCTGGAACTCACTTGGTAGCCCAGGCTGGCCTCGAACTCACAGAGATCCACCTGGCTCTGCCTCCCGAGTGCTGGGATTAAAGGCGTGCGCCACCACCGCCCAGCTCATTTTTTAAATTATTCATTTAATTGTATTTTAAAGTTTCTAAATTTTTGTGACTTCTAATCATCATCTCAATCAATTTATTTTAAGGTAGCAAAGACTAATCAAAACGTAGAAACAAAAAGCCCAGATTGGTTCTTTCTACTTTTGAAGTATTCAAATCTCCTGTCTACAGTGACAGGAGTACAGGGTATACCTTTCCTCCCATATTTTCATAGGTAATGTGTTAAGAACACCTGTAACATTTTTAATGACCCAAGCTTGAGTTAGAAAAACAGTGCCTGTCTGTACTTCCTGCCTAGAGTTTATTTCTTGTGGCTTTCAGATACTCATACTTAGTGATCTTGGTACATAATCGGAGTCTGGTCAGACTTGGTTATTTTTTAGACCTTCAGAGAATTTCTACTTTTTCTTGACTTCATTTTGACTGTTTCTCCCTTTTAATAATGCTGTTTGAAAACTGTAGCAGTATACATTAACAGAAAAAATAGAAAATTAACATAAAATATTTCTTAAGTATGTTAATTTTCTATTTTTTCCCTGGTTCAGGTTTTAGCTCAGCTCCTCTGACTTTGCCAGATAGGCTGTAGCCTCGGGATTACTCAGTTTGATCAGTACTGCAATCAGAAAAGTAAGGAGAACTTCTCACCTTGTGTAAATGTGGCTCATTGTCCTTAACCGTTTGAGACAAAGAGGTTGTTTATTTCTGAACTTACTATTGGGGTGGGTCATCCTGCTGAAGGCTTACTTAAAAGCTGCAATGTTTTGGCAGTATGGCTCATCATAAATAGTAATGTTCAAAGTCCAGTTTAATAAGGTATTTTTCCAATAAAATGTTCCAGTTTTACACAGAGTGAGAATCTCTTAGTACACTTTCTGATTGCTTCATATTTTTATTTTTACTTTTTAAAGCTGTGTTATTTTTTAGTTCTTCATGCTTTGGAAGTAACAGTTGAAGAGAGGTGAGGAAAGTTTGTGAAAATTGTGATCGGTGATTAGCTGCCACCTGCCTGAGGTGTCTTCTGAGAGGAACTAACCTCTTTGTGGTGCTAGAGCAAGGTCACTGGATTAAAAACAGAACAGGTAACCATCTTATTCCTTGTCTGAAAAGTTCTGTCTTAAAATTAATAAATGCAAAATACAGAAGGTAATATGAAACTACTGTTTAAAGAGAATTTTTAATTTTCTCCCCAGAAACCAGTAAAGTGGACTATGTCCTTTTTCAAGCGGCCACAGCCATAATGGAAGCGGTTGTCCGAGAGTGGGTTCTCTTGGAAAAAGGCAGCATCGAGTCTCTGAGAACATTCCTCCTAACCTATGTCTTGCAAAGGCCTAAGTAAGTAATGGGTTGGCACTGCTAAAATACCTTTGTTCAGCCTCTATGATCTGTCCTTGCAGAGATCCCTTCTTTTGAAAGGTGATGTTAATGGGCAAGCTCTCTACTAGGGCTTGTAGTTTGAAAATTCATGCACAGGATTGTAGCTTGCTTTCATACTTGATGAAAATCATAACTTTTACTTAAGTTTCTGATACTAAAGAAAGTACCTTCTATAAAATTGTTGTTAAATTTTGAAGAATTTGGTTATAAATACAACTTGACTTTTGACTCTGTCAAAACTTACATTTACTTGTTCTTAGATGTGTGGTAAGGTGTTTTATTTCTTTTAATATGTTTAGGAAGTTTAGCATGGGCTAGGTATTATAAGATGTAGCTGCATATCCCCAGAGAGGAAGAAGAAGAAATTAAGCCATCAACAAGCCAAATGATACATATATATGTACATAGAAAATATTTTAGAAGAAAAAGCACTAAATTCTTTGTTTACTTTGAAAAGGTCAAATTTCAGGAGTGATGTAAAGTGAATTTTCTTTAATGTTTAAATATTTTTACAAGACTATACATTTGTTCTTGTATGGAATTGACACATTTTTGCTTTATTTTACTAAAAATGATGGTTGTTTTGGTCTTTACTCTGGCAAAATAATTTGAAATAAATTTTGATAATGTATTCTTATGGTTAAAGAGAAATTGAGAGAAATCTTTGCGTTTGTATTTATATAATAAAAGGAACTTAACATGAAGGTCTATGTTTATCAGTATCAAGACTTTAAGAAATTAGAGGCTGATAGGTAGCTCAGGTTTTTTTGTTTTTTTAAAGCTAAGAGCAGTACATCATGCCTCTAATTTCAGCATTTCGAAGGCAAGTTCAAAGCTAGAGTGGCCTACAATATGACTGTCACTAAAAACTGGAAGGAATAAAAAAAAGAAAGGAAATATTTGTATGCCACTAGTAGCTTTAGTATTTAGGCCCCTGTGTCTCAAGAGCAGCCTTTGTATCACCTGCTCCCAGGACTAGGTATTGTCATAAAGCCTCTTTGTTTTTCTGGGGTTTTGTCCTCTTTTTACTTTCACAGAACAGTGATTTGATGACACTTTTCCTGTGGTTGAGTCAACTGTTGTCACACAGTGGTTTTCCTAAGTAGTCAGGGTCACAGTAGAACTTCTGGCCTCTTGAGAGCCTTTCTTTTCCACTGCGTTCCATGAAACCCAGAACTCGGCAAGGCTGCAGTAGACGTAATGGGGGAGATATTCCTTGATGCTGGTATATGTGCTTTTTTTGTGCTATCCAAATTCCATTCTTAAATCATTTTGAGTAGTTGAGAAGCTATTTTAGAGTTGATTACAAAAGGTTCTGTATTGAAATATTCCCTTGATTTTTTTTTTTTTTTCTCCCTAAACTGTGTGTGTTAGTGCTGTGAGTATGGCGTCAGGTGGAACCCAAGATCTCATGATAAGCACTGCCTCCTCCCTACACTATTTTGAAAACTTCTTAAAACTTCTGGAAAAGATGACACAGCAGCACAGTGAACACATACACACCCCTGTCCTGGTAAAAGTTCAGTTGCCTTTTTTTTTTTCCTTGGTTTTTTTGAGACGGGGTTTTTCTGTGTAGCCTTGGCTGTCCTGGAACTCCACTCTGTAGACCAGGCTGGCCTTGAACTCACAGAGATCCTGCCTCTGCCTCCTAAGTGCTGGGATTAAAGGTGTGTGCCACCACTGCCTGGCAAACTCACTTAACATTTTGTCACATTTGAGCAAATTGCCACTCACACTACAATGCTTTCATCTTAAATAGTTGAGTGTGTCTCCCCTGAAACCACACCGTCAATATTCTAGACCTAATTATCACATTTATATCATTACTTAATATCATTGTATATTCTGAGTTCCTCCATTCTTTTTTTTTTTTTTTTTTTTTTTTTTGGTTTTTCGAGACAGGGTTTCTCTGCGTAGCTTTGCGCCTTTCCTGGAACTCACTTGGTAGCCCAGGCTGGCCTCGAACTCACGGAGATCCGCCTGGCTCTGCCTCCCGAGTGCTGGGATTAAAGGCGTGCGCCACCACCGCCCGGCCTCCATTCTTTTACTAATGTTAGGTATATCTTCCCACCGTAGGTTATTTTTCTTACTAATATACAGTCTGTGTCTTTGGCTCTGTTAATGTTTGCTTTCTATAGTTAAGTAAAATATGCTGTCTTTTAGTCCAGGATTTAACTACAAGTTAGATGTTATTATGTTCAGTTATCATGCCTTTTTTTTTTTTTAAGTTAAATGTGCATGAGTACTTTAATTTTTATTAAATGTATTTATTTTACTTTATATGTATGAATTTTTTGCTTGCCTGTACATCTGTGTACCATATGTGTGCCTGTGGAGGTCAGAAGAAGATGTCAGATCCCCTAGAACTGGAGTTACAAATGGTTGTGAGCCACTGTGTGTGTGTGCTGGGAACTGAACCCATGTACTCTAGAAGAGCAGTGAGTGCGCTTGGCTGCTCATCTTTCCAGTTGCTGTGTAAGGGTATTTTTTCCTGCATGTGTGTATTTGCAACATGTGCATGCCTGGTGCCCCAAAAATTCAGAAGAGGGCTGGAGTTATAGGTGGTTGTGAGTCACTGAGTAGGTGCTGGGAACCAAACTTAAGTCTTTTGCATGAGCGGCAAGTACTTTTAACCACTGAGCCAGCTCTCCAGCTCCTGCTACATCTCTTTAAAGCCAGAGTAATTCAGCCACTTTTTTGTCTTTAATGGCAAGGGCATTCTTATTTTATAGAAACTAATAGAATTTATTTGTCTAATCCACTCATTTAGGATTAGGGTCAAGTAGCAAATTTTGGTGTACTATAGGTAGGATTATACAGATTATGTGGTACAGTCTAGTGTACATAGGGATTGTGTATTTGGTCCTTACCACTACATGTACAGGTTTTCTTTTCTGACATTCTAAGTGAGGTAAAATTTATATCCAGTTTGATACATTGTGCCTCCTTTTCAAGAGGCAGGTAGCATAATAGTCAAGAAAGAAGTATGCATTCCCATTCTGCCACACTTGACTCTGTGACCTTGCCTGATTTATGTGACTAATCTTTTTTTGCTAATTTTCTGATAATTAATGGAGTTAACAGTGTTTCTTGAGCATGTTCATTTACAGAAATCCTTGCATAAGACTTAGTAAATTTTTTAATTTTCTAGTATTTTCTAATTCTTTCCAGTAGAGACTTTTTGTTTTTTTTTTTTCTTTTAGTCAGGATCTCACAATGAAGTCCTGGCTGGCCTGGAACTTGCTGTGTAGACTAGGTTGGCATCTAGCGGTCCAATAGCCTCTGCTGGTATTAAAGGCATGTGCTACCACCCCCACCCGAAATCTGTATTTTGTAGGAATATTTTGACTTTAGTCTTGATGCAGGGACACATGCTTGGAAATAAATATTTACTAAATACCTTCTATATGGCAAATCCTGAGTTTTACATATGCTAGTGTGCTTAGAGTGGGGTGGTTGATCTTCAGGATAGAGTTTAGTAGTAACAGATAAGTCATGTCACATGTTGGTACCTTGGGAGCCTCTAGTGATAACTTTCTGGAGAAAGTGACATCACAATTTGGCAGAAGGAATAGACGTTCGTAGGCCTGGAAGTGTAAGAGTGTGGACCCAGGAACTGAGGAGTTCCATATGCCCACCGTACTGAGTGTATGGAAAGAGTGATGTCAGAGAGCAGAGCAGGCACTTGGGTGTCACAGGCTTGAGAACGCCTGACCATATGTATAACTTATGTCCAAACTGGGACACCTTTGAAAGTCAGAGTAAGCATTATTCATAACTACTCGGGATGACAGGACATTGGAACTCTTCCAGAAAAGCTGTGTTCGGTCTTGTTGTCCACGGTAAGGGATGTGACTTGTCCCAAGGGTACAAGGGCACATCTTTATGACATTTGGGAGGTTATAAAGTTCGTGTTTTTGTAGCCTGACCTTTAAGAAGGGGTTTCAAAAAGGCATTTAAGTCTCTCTACCCTTGTGATCGGTAGGCTTTACAGAATGTTTTGGCTGGGAATGGGTGTTTCTGCTGTCACTCAGAGGTGACACCTGGCTTAGATAGGACCTTGGAGAGCTGGAATTTGCCTTTTCTCATTAAATGGTAAGGGTTGAGATACTGCTGGTTGGATGTGGATATCAAATCAGAATGACCTTATTTAGTAATACCCCCACCTTAGGTACTCAACAAGGAACTGAGTTAGCATGTATTGGACACTGCTTAAAGCATTTAGTATGTGTGTAGTGGACACAATCCTAGGGTAGAACATGTTTTGTGTTTGTTTGATGTTTTGTCTTTTTGAAACAGTGTCTCGTGGTATAGCCCAACCTGGCCTGAAATTGACTATGTAACCTAGATTAGGGTGGAGCATTAGTTTTTACAATAATCCCGACTATTATCTCCGTTTTAAAGAAGAGGAAAAACCAAGACTGTATGCTGGGTTGCCCAGGGTTACATAGCCAGTAATAACAGAGCTGAGCAGATCTGTAAGTCTCTGTGTAACTTAGGAGATTATACTGCTCTCAGGGGTAGGTGGCATTATTAGTAGTTTCTGGTGTATTTATAGTAGACAACCGTAAATGTTTTCACAATTTTTATGTTTTGCAGCCTCCAAAAGTATGTTCGGGAACAGATTCTATTAGCAGTAGCAGTAATTGTAAAACGAGGATCATTGGATAAGTCAATTGACTGCAAAAGCATTTTTCATGAAGTCAGCCAATTGATAAGTAGTGGCAATCCCACTGTGGTAAGTATGCTAACTGCTTGTATCTGTAAATGTTTTTTATTTTGCCTATCATAATAGCATTCTGGCAATAGTAGTATAAAAGAAAGGCATGCAAACTAATGTGCCAGGCAGTTTTATTTGTTCAGACATTTCTGCTTCTCTTTAAATATGTGTGTGTAATATAGATAAAGTATATTTAGCCTTTTTCATTTGATTCTGTGTTTTTCTGTGTTGCCACTGTGCTCATAATCATTTTAATTGATTGTAAGACATAATGAGTTAATACACCTTAATATTCATTTTTCTGTGGGTGGAGAGACTTGGGCTTAGTATGTACCTCTGGCTGGCCTGGAATTCAAAGATCTGCCTGTCTCCCTCTGCCCCTGAGTTCTGGGGTTGAAGACATGTGCCCCCATGGTTGGTTTTTCATTATTATTAATCATTTCTATTGAACATTTCCCCACCCTCAGTTTTAATAAGCATTAGAAAGTACTGGTAATTATAGAAATGGCTGAGTTAAATATAAATGGTATCTGGCATAATATAAATTGTTAACTACTCCATGACTTTAGGTGGTTCTCTCAGGTGAGCAGATGTCAGACTATTGTTCTTGACCAAATTACCAAATCACAGTTTATTTTCTTGAACTACTTGAGAGCTATCTGTGTGAGGCTATACAGTTCTTCGGGGACCCTTCTATAAGAGATACATATGGCACTTACTTATTTGTCATGATGGCACTTGGACCCAGACCCTTGTACAGTCTACTGAGCCACACACCAGCCTCATGTATAGGCTATCTGTTTCTGATGTAGCCTGAGCTAGTGTTAGAACAGTTAGAATGATGATCAGATCACTCGCATTGACTTGCCAATGTTCCTTTTCATGGTAATGATTGTGTTCAGCCCTTGTGGTCACTACGCTGGACGCTCCCCTTGTAGATTTTGCTTTGGGACATCTTGTTGCAGTGGACAGGATTAGACTGGAGCTGTGGCATTGAGGCTGTGGCTAATGCTCCCTGGGTTAGTTTGTTGGTTCTTGCAGCTGGGGCTGTAGTGCAGGGGTCTGTAGCTTGCCCTTGCCCTCCTGCTTGTCTCTTGGCACTGGGAGAATACAGCACAGGTAAATTGTCCTGCCTTTCTTAGGAATGAGCACCTGGTGGGAACTGAGTTTTCTTCTCCTTCCCCCATGGGTAGATTTGATGTAGCAAAAAATGTAGTTCATGGCAGCTTGACAGTTAGACTTGTTTGAGCCACCAAAATAACTGTTCTGCAAGTGACAGAGCAGACAGTGCGGTTGGAGAACATTGTGCTATATTTACAGCACATACATTTGGAAAGGTTTAATATCCTTGAGATTCTTGAAGTGGTCAAAGTAGACACCCCCATACATACATACATACATACATACATACCCCACACATACAGTTTTTGAGTCAGAGTCTTGTTGTGTTACTGACTAGTCTGGAACTCACTGTGTAACAGCCTGGCCTTGAACTCTTGAACTTTTTCGTTAGTCTCCTGTATCCTAGGATTGAAGGCATGTGCCACCGTATGCAATAAGATTTTCTTTTTAAAGTAAAATTTCTAAATAACAGGACCAAGGAATTCTACAGTATTAGCAGTTCAGTATGTTGGAGGTAGAACCATTTTCAGTGATAGGATGAAATGAATTTGCTAGCCACATTGAAACATTAAATTTAAAAAACAAAAAGCCTCTATATTCAAACAAACAAAAAACAGCTGAGTGGTGGTGGCACAACCCTTTAATCCTATCACTTGGGAGGCAGAGGCAGATGGATCTCTGTGAGTTAGAGTCCAGCCTGGTCTACAGAATGAGTTTCAAGACAGCCAAAACTACACCAAGAAACTTTGTCTCAAAAAACAAACAAAAATTCTCTATGTTTATTTGGTGAGTGAGAAGCACACATTGTCATTTGTGCTTGTCCTTGCAGAGTGGTATGAAACCAGCTCATTCAGTAGGTCCAGAAAATGAGATTGCAGACCAGTGAAATGTTTTCATGTATCTTCCTCTTGGACGGTGAAGAGTTTGTGGGAATGGTTCAAGAATTTAAGGCTTCCTTAGACTTAGAGACATGAATAACCTCAGCAGAAAGGAGCAGAGCTTTGGTAGGAAAGGAGCATGCTGAAACAATCAGTGGCCAAAACCTTCTTTATATGATGGTTGTATGTGATATATGAAGAGGTGCCAGTAACAGAAATCATCTGATGGCTTTTTCTTTAAAATCTTTCATTTGCCATTATATGTATGTACATGTGTGTGCGCCATAGCACATGTGTGGTTAAAGGACAACTTTTGAGAGTCAGTTCTCTTCTTCAACCATGGGTTCCAAGGATGGAACTCATGCCAGGTTCGGTGGCAAGTGCCTTTACCTCCTGAGCCATCCAGCTGACCCTATTTGATGGTTCCATGGATCTTCACTGGCCAGAAACTATAGCTTGGCTGCCTCCCTTCAAAATATCGCTGTTGGTTGTACTAGTCTCACGAACCTGTTTACATGGGTTTTAGGGCAACTTGCAATTGTGCACTGATTTTTTTATTCATACTTAATTACAGCTCTGTCAATTACTAACTACTTAACCAGAACAATAAGTACTGTACACTCTCTGGGCATGAGTTCCTTAGTATGGAAACCCAGTGTCCTAACGTCTGTCAGGCTGCTCGTGCAGTGTTTGCCCCGTCTCCCTAGCAGCCTCCCAGCCTTCCTTTGCAGAATCTTGGGAGCATAAGCTCTAATAATTCACCCTGTATAACTAACTACTCTAAGTGTGGAGACACAGAAGACAGTATCTGCTAGTGAAAGCTAATAATCTTGTATTTAAAATATAATACAATGCCTGTACTTTAGCTTTCCTTTTAATGTTTTAAAGGATTATGATGTGGTTTCTTGCAGATCATTTTATAGAAAGTTTCATAAACGTGTAAAACATTGGGAGAGGACATTTAAGTGTAGTGCCTTGCTTTATCACTGTAAAGATATAGATTTCAGCCTTCATATAACCTTTTTAAAAAATTATTTTTATTTATTTATTTATTTTTACTAGAAATAGATTTTTTTCATACAATATATTCTGATTACGATTTCCACTTCTTCAACTTCTCCCATATTTTTCCCAGCCACTCAAATCCACACCCTTTCTTTGTCATTAGGGTACAATTATCTGACCTGACGGTGGTGGCACACGCCTCAAATCCCAGCACTCAGAAGGCAGAGGCAGGCGGTTCTCTGAGTTCAAGGTCAGCCTGGTCTACAGAGCGAGATCCAGGACAGCCAAGGCTACACAGAGAAACCTTGCCTTGAAAAAAAAATACAGTTATCTAAAAATAATAAGATAAAACAAAAACAAACCAGAGTAAGACATAAGACCTTTTCTAAAGAGCATTTATTAGCTTTCCATGTGCCATAGTATATTGTTGGTGCTTATACAGTTACGAAATATATCTTTCCATGCTCATCCTTGTGAGCAGGCTCTTATGGTGCTTGTGATGGGTGCTGTGTTTATTTCATCTCAGTTGGGAACTGTCAGGCCTGCTGTCAATACTAGTTTGACAGAGATAGGGAAGTTCTTCCTAGAAAAGTAGCTTATGGTCTTTGTTTGTTTGTTTGTTTGGTTGGTTTTTGGTTTTTCAAGATAGAGTTTCTCTGTGTAACTTTGGAGCCTATCCTGGAACTCGTCCTGTAGACCAGGCTGGCCTGGAACTTACCTAGCTTAGGTTATTTTTTAGGCTGACATAGAAACTAGAATTTTAATCTATTTCATATTTGCCTTATTTCCTTTGGAAGTAATAAGATAAGCTTATGTTAAATCATTTTGAAAGATAGTTAATGCAACATTTAAGCCTCCTTTCTTCCTGTTTTTCATGTTGGCCAGAAGTGGGTGAGAAATTCACTTGTCTATCCAGGGCTGCCCCTGGATGCGATAGCCAAGTTAATCTCCCTTATCGCAAAGTCTCATTGATGTTTTCTTAGAAGAACAGCTGGAGGTCTGCTATATAGTATGGCAACCTTTCATACAGTTTATTCTTGGTAATAAAGATCCTGAGGCAAGAGCCAGGCTATTATAAGAGACAATCCTCCCTCTGAACTAGAGCATTCTATTTTGTCAGCTGGAGTTAGTGTCTTGTGCTTGTGAACTGGGAAGGCAAGCTGTCTCTGAGGGTGTTGTTTTCCGTCAGCATGAAATGAAAGGCTTGGACAAGAAGTGTGAATGCTGCTGTAAGAATTTTAGCATGAAGACAGTTTTTTATTTTTTAAATTGTCAGCTAGTGAATAAACTTTTGAATTTCCAGTACTTTAGTGAGAAGCTATATTATGAAAAGTTTTCCTTTGAGAGCAGGTGTCATGTATCCCAGGTTGACCCAGAAATTTGGGATATAGCCATGGATACCTTGGACTTCTGATCCTCTGTCTCCATATCCCAAGTACCAAAATGGCAGCCATGTACCCCAGCACTCAGTTTTATGTAATGCCTGTGATCTAAACCAGGGCTTCATGCATTCTAGGCAAGCACTCTACCAGCTGAACTACATTCTCAGCTCATGAACACTTCTTTTTGTGAGATTGAGACCTTATTGCACTGTCTTCCACTTGCTTTAGTGATCTGAATTTATAAACAACAGAAATGAGAGTGGGACTTAAGAGGGATTACTCAGTGGTTAATAGCAATTGCTGTTCCTGTAGAGGATCCGGGTTTGGTTCCCAGCACCTACATGGTGGCTCATAACTATCTATAACTCCTATTCCAAGAGATTTGATGCTTTCTTCTGGTTACATACATACATGCAAGCACTCCTACACATAAAAATTAATCTTTTACAGAAACATTAGGAAACATGCATTTATTTTCTAGCAATATTTAATGATCCTCTTCTATTTCTAAGTGATAATTATCTTGCATTTCTAATTTGACAGAACTAGATGGCAGTCACGAGGTAGGACCAAAACAACTCAATTTTATGATAATTATAAAAACACTACCTTCACTCTACCTCATTCTAATTGCTGCATTTACATAGTACTTACAACACATCATTTAATTTGAACCCAGGGTAACTAGATTAGTAGGGCAGAGAGTAGATGAGACTTTATCGGCATGATAAATGAAATGCCTTGCCTCCAGTTAAATGGGAAAGAGACTGTTTGAATTTACATTTTTCTGTTTCCCTGGTCTACACAGTAGACTTCTTGTATCACTAAGGATTCCTACAGAGTATTTTTATTCATAATGTATCTCAGACACCAGCACAATGGATTTTGTTACTTGCTTTCTAAATTAGCAAATGAGAATGATCAATAAAGAACTGCCTGCTGGTGGTTGTCATGTTGCCAGCCTCAATGAACCACAGTGAATCATAGGCTACCACAGAGGCCACTTGAGGGACCCTGCCTGTGAAGTCGACATAAATCAGCAAGCAGGAGAGCTGATATCCCTTTGTCCAAGGACCTAAGGCCTGTTTTCTTGAGTGGCTTCCAAGTAGTCATTTATTGTCATAGAGTTGATATAAAAGGGCTTCTCTTAGAAAAATGTACAAGGTGTAAGTTTTCTTTTCAAAATGTTTTTGTTGAATTTAGAAAGTAACAGATATGGACTTGTTCTTTATGATCTAGATAAATGAAGCGTTCTTATCATAACCTCTTAAAACTGAAAATTTGTGCTTGTGGTTTCGGTCAAATCCCTCTTTAGTATGAAAATCTCCTGTTTCTCAGTTTTCATCAGATTTCACTGAAATTCCTAACGACAGCTTTTGCTTCTGACCCTCTTGAGTATCAGAGTCGCTGTCTATAGTATAGAATGCTATCTGGCCGTGACTGACAAAGGGCAGGGACAGCACTTAAAAGTGCTGGTCGTTGGAGGGGGAGTAAAAGGCACTGCAGTTGTGTCCCCTGAGCACCGAATGCCTGAAGCAAGCTGACAGGAACCTTCTCCAGGGGTGAGACCCAAAGTTGGTGCTCTCTCCCAGGCAGGGAGGACAGTTCTTCCTTCTGACCTGGGAAACTCTCCCTGGGCGCTGCTTTTTGCTTGGCTTTCCTGTCGTCATTAAGTACTGAAAGTGAGTAAACATGGGAATCGAGAATCTTACACAGTTATGATATGCTTAGTTGTCTTGTGACTAGGGCGAACTACTTTGTTGATATATAGCAGAGTACTTTACTTTGTTCTTTTATTTATCATCAGTCTTTAGTTCACTTTCTCCAAGGAATGAGTTTATTCATTTGGCATCCTTTAGTTAGAGTAGTATAGTCCAATTAGAGTTTATCATGCTAATCTCATATCCATACAAGATTTTCAAATTAATGAGAGATTGAATTCTTGGATTTTTTAGTATTTGGAAATATCTTACTGAATTCAGTTCTTTGAGAGGTGATGATTTTAAGTATGGCTCAAAATAGCATTTGATATCTCCATATTTCACGTATTTCTTAAGTTTCTAAGTGATGTAATAAAATAGAAAAGTTTTTACTTAAAGATTTCTTTTTGTTTTAAAACTAAAGTGGAAAAAGGAGTATAAAGTATATAAATTGTTAGCTATTCTATAACTAATGTGTATACATGCATTAAGAAATTAAAGGAACTATAAATAACTATTACAATAATAACCCCCAGACAATAAGATTATAGGCAATTGTATTTTCTTTGAACTTTTTTTAACCTTCTAGTTTTTCTTAGATTAAAATTATACTATATTATTTTCATAGGCTGAAAAAATAATTTAAAAATAGTATATTTATGTTCAGAAAGGCAAAGCTGTGACGAGAACGCATTTGGTTCTTGATGATCACGGATTGAGAATAAGGGCTAAAGTGGTGCTCCTCTTTAGGACCCCTCCCACCGCAGGAGTCTTCCTCACTTTCCTTAGGAAGTGTGCGTTCACTTTGGAGAGTGGGCTGGCGTGGGAGAGAGAGAGTGAGGCTCTGTACTCACTGGCCTTTATGGGTTAGTATGTTCATCCTTAACGTGAGCTTGCTTTGTTGGATGGCTCTGTTTCTTGATGCAGCTGGCCTCTGTCTGCTGAACTCTCCTGTGTAGCTAAAGGAAATCTACTTATCGAAATCCTCAGTCACCTAGCAAGGTTCTCACTAGCTTTGCCTTGGGGTTTTGTTTTTGTTTTGTTTTGTTTTTCTCTTTTCATTTGGCTCTTAATATGAGCTTAGAAAATATTTATTTCATGTGAAAGCAAATCTTTATTGTGAATATATGTTTTAATAATTAGACACTGTACTAAAAATCTGAAATGACCATAGTTTTGAAACTATACCACTTTGTGAAAGTACCAGAAACCAACCTGTGTTATCAATTACTTGTGAAAAGTATTTTAGAGCATTTTTTGCAAGGATGATGGCATTTTGCATTTAACAAGCTTCTGGATTTCAAGTGTCTGTGTTTTCGTGTAAGTTCATGTGTGAACTGTGTTCTGTGATTGATATGTGAGATTCTGGAGTTAATTTTCTTGTTTTAAGAAGATATGTTTTCAAATATTTTATCTTCATAATATTATAATCAATAAGGTCTTATTTAGAAAGGATGGATAAGATGCTAAGACTAAGAGTTACAAAAATGTAGACTACTAAAATTGTCTTTAGAATTATAGAGTCTTAGAAGTCATTAGGACTTGTGAGTTAATATTTTCCTCCAAGTTTTATTAATTTAATTTAATTTTGCTTATTATTTTATTTAGTATATTCCCCCACCAAATTTCTCATAAATGTACACATAATCACATTTGAAGATGATCAATTTTATTTAAATGTATCTGTGAAGTATTGACTGCTGGTGCTTTTATTTCCTTTTTAACTTTTTGGGGAGTGTATTTGAGGCAGCGTCACAGTGTGTGTGTGTGTGTGTGTGTGTGTATACATACAGAGAGAGAGAGAGAGAGAGAGAGAGAGTCTTAAGCTGGCTTCAAATGATCCCTTTGCCACAGCTTCCAAATAAGGAGGATTTGGAGAACTATGGACTGTGCCTCTACACTCCGCTGATGACTGGCACTTTAATCACCTTTTAAAAGGAAGCCATTTTAAAATGAAGATTATTTTACTTGATAAATGTCTGAAGTCTCTTTGAAGAGTAAGACAGGGATAATTGCTCTCTATATGAGGTGTTTGTACCTCATTTCTCAGACCGTCTTCCTCAGTCTCACAATGGTATTCAAACAGGCATGTATTTTTCTTCAAGATTTGGAGCTGAGGGAACTTTTGTATTAAAATAAGTGTATATTTTGAAGTAAACTTTGAGTATGGGGACAAGGCTAAGTCCATTTCTGATGAGGAGCACTTGCCATATGACTATAATGACCTGGGTTCAACCCTTAATACAGCTAGTTATTAACAACAAAAACCTAAGTATATATGTGTGCACAAAAACTAAACTAAGAATATCCAGAGGACTTTCATCATTGTAGAAGGCACCTTTCATAGATAACTTCTGGATTCTCCAGGCAGCATGAAGTTGAATACCTGTGCTTATTTTTATTGAGATTAAGAAGGAAACAGTAACTACTTCCTTTTAAATTTTTAAAAGACGTTTTTAAAGGAAAATTTTAAGTGCTTTTTAAAAAAGTAGTATATAGTTCATCCATGTAACTGTCATTTACCTTGAGCAAATATCTGCCCTACAGTCTTTAGGAATTTAACCTTATATGTGTTTGCTAAGATTTGCCAAGCTAAGCATCTGTAAGGTCAAGGTACTAACATCAGAAGCATTTCTGAACAAAGATGCTGCAGTTGGTGGGGTGGGTCCCTCTGTGGTCAGCTGTTGTATAAGCTTGCAGAAATAGTATCATCTTGACTTTAATCTTGCGGGGGTTCAGAGGTAGTGTGCATATTTCTGTTTAACCCCTGGGGATATGCCAAACTAATTCATATCCTTATCTCCATCCTTATTACCTTGACTCTAAATAGTCTGTGAATAAGATTAATGACTTGGTATTACTATCTGGTGGATCCAGTGAAAAGGAAAAGTTTCTTTCTTTGATTTAAAAAGTTGTGAGGTTCTACCTGTTTGATATTTTGGAAACTAAAGTCTGTGTTGTGTTTCATCTGTTTGAAAATACATTTTACATTCATCAGAACATAGAATGGGAGACACGAGTCTGATTGTTGGTGGCTTCCGGTAATCACCTACCCTCTTCAAGTCATGGTTCTTTCAAGCATAAAATGAAACAGGGCATTTAACAATTATTGAATTATTTAAAATGTCAGTTGAACTTTAGGGTTGAGTAGACTCATGCCCTGAGTTCTAGTCCTACATTGATTGGTGTAACTTGAGGCGAGGTGTGCTGTTAACATTTACCACATTACTTTGAAAAGAGAGCCAGTCTTCTTAGCCGTACCCAGGTCTCTGCTGGGGAGTTAGAAGTTCTAAAGCTCAGACAGACAGCATACAGAGAATATGTTTGAGCAAAATCTGTTGAAACAAAGCTTTGAAAAAATGAATGCCTTATAATTATATCTTATTGAATATAGCAAACTCTGGCCTGTTCTATTCTGACTGCACTGTTGAGTGAGTTCTCAAGTTCAAGTAAAACTAGCAACATTGGACTGAGTATGGAATTCCACGGGAACTGCAAACGAGTTTTTCAGGTATTGATATCTTTGTTTTGTGTTTTAATTACTGGATAGTCTACTTTTTGCCCAGTTTGTTCCTAATGGCAAGAGCATTTGTTTCGGATGTTTGATAGCTTATGCCTGAAGACTTGTGCTGAGATTTCATAGGCTGTATAGTAAATTGGTAAATTTGATTACTGTAATTGATAAGTTGAAGTTAATTATTCAGTTCTCATCTTTAAACAACAAAAAAAGAATATTATAATAAATATTCCTTAGTTTATCATTATTCATGTTTAGATATAGCTATTTCAATTGATAGGATTCTGCTGGCCTTAAAAATAGGACTGGCACAATGCCAAAGAGGGTCATGTATTTAAAATGTTATTGCAGATGGTGTGGGCTCTTTGTCTCTCTCATGTATTGTTTGGCTCTGGAGTAAAGTTATGTGAAGGCATTGGCTTGAGTCCTAAGTCTGTGCACTATAGCAACTGACTCTGCCAGCTCTACAGTCACATTCGCCCTCACAGGCTTCCCTGCATGGAGGAGCACTTATATTACAGTAAATGGTGTCCCTTGAAAGCACACTGATGTCATTTTGGTTAGCGGCCTCAAGATGGAAAACATTCTTAAGGAAGTAAAGCAATCTGTTGGAAACCTTAAGGTTCTTGTTGTTTTATGATTCTGAAAAGGAATGCATTTTGAGTAAGTGTCATGCAAAACTTGGTGTGATTTTTTGACCATAGGAAGAAGACCTTCGCCAAATCTTCATGTTAACAGTTGGAGTTCTGCAGGAGTTCAGCAGGCGGGAGAACCTCAGTGCTCAGATGTCCTCAGTGTTTCAGCGGTACCTTGCACTAGCCAACCAAGTCCTGAGCTGGAATTTTCTCCCTCCAAATTATATCCTTTTAACAATGGGAAGGGTTGTATATGTGGTGAATTTGTAGAAAACTTAACCATGAAGCTCAGTCCTTTATGTCCTTAGCTTTTTTATAAAGCATTCTGTTGAATGGAAGCTTTTTTTTCTTCTTTATGGAGAAATGGAATTTTATTAAACCATAGTACAGTAGACTATGTAGAACTACTTTGTTGAAGAGGATTGAGTGTGTGAAAACATTTGGTGTCTAATAAGGCTGTTGCTAACTGAGGAAGAAGATAGCATTCCTGGGAAGGAAAAGACAAAATGTGCAAAGTGTGTTTTTATACCGCAGTAGAGCCATTTGCTCCTTGGATATGTGATTCAGTTATATTTTTGGGCTGACTTTCTTTAGTTAGAAAAGCTCTGGTTTTATCGTTATGAATTGTATGTGTATGCAATAAGTTAGTGATAAGCTTTCTGTCTAGAGCATCTGCTGCCGAGTGTCATGTTGTGCCTTACGGTACTGGAGTGCCTGCTTGTAGCATTGTTCAGTCAGTCAGACCTGGGTTCAAGCCTCAGTTAATCTCCAGCAAATTGCTGAACCTTTCTGAATCTTAATTTTTCCAAACAGAAAGAGGATGTTGGTTGTTGACTAAATTAACTGAAACAGCATTGTTAACACATTCAGAGTTAGCTGCTTTTGTGTAGCTCTTGGCATCTCTGAATAAAATAGGCCTACAGTTAACTCCCCGTGTCATGCTCCTTTTAATCTAGTACAGTTGTGGCTGGTGTAGAAAATTCAGTATGGCCTGTTCTAGATGTCTTTAATCAGCTCTTTCTCGGGGCTTTAGGAGTGTCTGTTTCAGAGAAAAATGCTGCTTCTAAAAAGATTAAAAATGGATGGTGAGTTTTATCAGAGCTTTAGGATGAGGTTAATCTTTGTTCTAACAGTTAAGATCTGCTGCATTCATATACGTAGGTTTGAGACCTGTAAAATTGTGAGACTTACGATGCATGGTAAGCTCTGATTTCCATTTTCCAGTTACTATATTTACCTGCTAGAAAACTAGCTGTGAAAGGCGGGTGCTATGACATAAAGTGAGCCACTGACTCGTTAAACCAGGAATTCTCCAGGCTTCTTTGCCAAGGACAGTCACATTAGAATGAAGCCTGCTACCAACTTAACCGTGTTCTCCTTTTATGCCTATCCTTATCTTTCACCCATTAACCAACTTTATGTCTTTAATATATAAATTTAATTTTTTAGAGTTGTAAGGGGCACATACTTTCTTTCTTGTTTCGTATTTTTGAGATAACTGATACTGTATACCTGGCTGGCCTTGAGCCCACAACTATCCTTCTGCCTCAACTCTCCAGTATGTTAAAATTTTAGCCCTGAGCTGCCACCCCTAAACACGGGCTTTCTTAACTTCATTTCTAAAATATCTTCTTTTTAATATTATATTGCATGCTTCACGTTTTATTTTCTTTCTTTTCTTTTCCCTCCATCCTTTCTGAGGTAAGACAGAACCTCAGAATCTACCAGTCTGGTCTTAAACTCATGATCATATTTTCCTCATTCTTCCAAGTGGTAGAATTACAGGTGTATGTCCACCATATCCAACTTGGTTTACTTGTTTGTAAAAATTTTTTAAAAATTTTACATCTTTATTTACTTTTATTATATGAATGTTTTGCCTTGCATGTGTTTCTGCTCACTACACTTGTGCCTGGTCCCAATGGAGCTCAGAAGAGGTTATCAGATCCTCTGGAACAGGAGTTACAGGTGGCTGTGAGCCATTGTGTGGGTGTCAGGAATCCAACCCAGGTCCTCTGAAAGAACAGCCAGTGCTCTTAACCGCTGAGCCATCTCCCAGCCCCTTGTTTGTTTTTAAAAGATGGTTTGGCAGACTTTATTCAAAAGAGTCTATTATTACAGTTTAAGTAGCAGGATCTTGTCGTGAAGACAGATTAGACAAGTCCCTGTCCTAGTTTTTTTTTTTTAATTAAAACAAACAAACAAAACAACATCAACAATTGAAGTGGCAATCACTAAGCATGCTTAGGCCTGTTAGGTCCTCTGCAGATATTCTGGTTGTTAGCTTGCTGTTTTTGTTGAACTCCTAACAGTAGGAGTAGAGGTGTCTCTGACTCTTTTGCCTGCCCTTGGGATCCTTTTCCTCCTACTAGGTTACCTCATCCAGCCCTGATATAAGGGTTTGTTTAGCCTCTTATTGTAATTTGGTTTTGTTGTTGTGGTTGTGGTTGTTTTGGTTTTTCGAGACAGGGTTTCTCTATGTGGTCCTGACTGTCCTAGAACTAGCTCTGTAGACCTGGCTGTCCTCGAACTCGCAGAGATCCACCTGCCTGACTGCCTCCCAAGTGCTGGGATTAAAGGCATGTACCACCACTGCCTGGCAGTCTTATTGTAACTTGTTATGCCACGGTCAATTTATACCCGTGGGAGGCCTGCTCTGTTCTGAAGGGAAATAGGAGGAGTGGATCTAGGGGATATGGGAGGTGTGGGAGGAAGAAGTAACTGCAGTTGGGGTGTATTGTATGAAAGAGGAATAAAAAATAAATAAATAAAATCAAAAACAGGGGTGGAAAGATGGCTTAGCATCTTCTAGAGGACCAGGGCCCAGTTCCCAGCACACAACCATCTAACTCATTTCAGGAGATCTGATGCCCTCTTCTGGCCTCCTTGGACTCTAGGCACTCAAGTGGTGCACAGACATACATGAAGGCAAAACTCCAATATGCATAAAATAATACGTATGGAGCCGGGCAGTGGTGGTGCATGCCTTTAATCCCAGTACTCAGGAGGCAGGGGCAGACAGATCTCTGAGTTCGAAGCCAGCCTGGTCTACAGAGCGAGTTTCAGCACAGCTAGGACTACACAGAGAAACCCTGTCTTTTGGGAGTTGGAGAAGAAGACTTGGTCATGTATGGTAGCACGTGCCTGTAATCACAGTATTCACTTGGGAGACTGAGGAAGGATTACTGTGAGTTCAAAGCCAACTAGAGTTACATAGCAAGACTGAGTTTCAAGAAAACCAACAAAACAGGAATACATTGAAAAAACTTGGAACAGATTTTAAAAGTACCAGTCCATATGGAGCTATCAAAACATTAATTATGTATGTAGTGAAATCAACAAAAATTACACTGCATATATCATAGCCAATTCTAAAGTGTCTGTTTTAGGGGAAAATACAGTTGGCAGAGAGTTACTGTTTTGAAATGAACAGTTCCTTAAGAGTTTGGAAACAAAGTTTGTCTGAAAGATACACACTCATAAAATATTTTATGAAGTCCTTAGATAAAGCATTAGAAAATAACTACTGCAGTGTTACCAAAGGAAATAATTCCTCTAAAGGTCTGGAGGGTTGCTGGGTGAGGTGTGAATACTGTAATCTCAGCCTTCAGGAGGTAGAGTCAGGAGAGTCGTTAGTTCAAGGTTATCCTCGGTACATAGTGAGTTTGAGGCCAGCCTGCAATACACGAGATCCAAAGGAAAGGGACTGGATCAGAAAAGATGGCTAATCTGGTAAAACTGCTGCTCTTCCAGAGATTCAAGTTTGGTTCCCAGCACTGATGTTGGACAACTTATAAGTGCCTGTCTGACTCCAGGGGATCTGTTATCCTCCTTTGGCCTCCATGACACCCATACACACATGCACAGACACACATATACATAAATGATACTTAAGGGGGGGGGGCTGGAGACACTGGCATTGAACTCTCAGTTCTGCCTCAGCTTCGAAAGTTCTTGTATGTCTCACCATGGCTAGCTCTTGAATGTTTTTTACTTCATGCTAATGAGTGAGTATTTATGTGACCAGTGATTAGTATAGTTCCATATATTGGTGGGTGGGACTATAACTGAATACTCCTTTGAATAGATAAGTTTCAGTTTAAGAAAACTTGGCAATGGAATTAAACTAAGATACAATTTGGACATTAATTAATGGAAATCTTTCTTAAAGAACCCAATTCTGGCTAAGTTATAATTTTGACAATTACTTGGAGATCCATCTATCCATTCATCATATTCAGTTGGTAGGGGAAAAACTGAAAAATTATTTAGATTTGTACCATAGAGAGGATCAAATAGTGAAGCTTAATTAAAATGCATATTGATCACTTTTAAAAAATGATTATCTTTTAGGGAAAACAAATGGTAGTAAACAGGCCTTATAAAATGTCTTTATCTTGTGTCAAATGCATTTGATCATTTAGAATGATACCATGCTAAATAAGGTTGTGTTCATTAACCTATGTAAATCTTTTTGTTATTGTTTTTGTTATTTCACCTATATAAATCTTGATGTGTAGTTTTATAGTATATTTTAGTTTTTAATCTTTTTATTTGATGTATTATCTGTATAAACTGACATAATCACTCCATGGTGTGATTAAAGGGAAGGTTTTTATTGTAAATATGAGGGAGAAAAGAACCAGAGGCATCTGGAAGAGTTTGGAGCAGAGACAGATAGCACTAGACTGAACATGGCCAGCAGACTGGACCTGCCCAGGAGAGCAGGAGGGAAGAGAGAGAGAGGAGAGAGGGAGAGGGAGGGAGGGAGAGAGAGAGAGAGAGAGAGAGGAGTGAGTATCTGGTGGCAGTTGGGGGGATGAAGACAAAGAGAGTGGGCAAAAGAGAGGATGCCAGTGCAGCTCTGAGAAGGAACAGGTCCTTGTGTGATACTGAGGACACTGGCAGCAAGCATGCTCATTGGTGTGCTAATAGATACCACAGATAGCCACTTTTTCTTTCTGCTAGCAGTAAGGGAAGGGACTCCTTTGGTAGAGGGGAACAGACTTCACAAATTCCCGAGGACTGCTGGCTTTTGTCTAACTGCCAGAATTCGGGAAATGAAGAGCTCAGACAGCTCCCCTGTGCTCTTCACTAAGATTGCACTGATTCAGACCCACATGGCAGCTCATAACTGTCTGTAACTCCTGCTCCAGGGGATCCAATACCCTCATATAGACCTACCTGCAGGCAAAACACCAATATATATATAATGTGAATATA